GAGCAAAATTCATAAACTGACTTTGTGGAACTGCTCCCTACTCCAAATAATCTTCTACTAACAGACTGGACATTTGAGTGTAGCAACTCTCTCTGCTTCTCTAGGAAGGCAAATGTCTGCATTACAGGAATCTGTTAACAGACTAATCTTATTGTTAGTAAGAGTGGATCGTTTTGGCATTAGTAATTCAGTCATTCTTGCTTTCAACACTGCTTGTAGAGAAATTGACTTGACTTCTGTCTAAGTGCTGCTGAGTCAGACCTCTTAATGATTTCTTCTTTACTGCATTTACAATGCAGTTCCACGATCATGAAATAATTTCAGCATCTTGAAAGTAGAATCAGTAAATTAAAGATGATCTCACAGAGAACTAAGATTTGCAAGGAGCTATATAATGAGGATACAGACCAGGTTATATACAATCAACAACAAAAAAAACTTTTCTGCAATCTGCTTACTCCTTATTATGATTTGTGTCTAACTGGCCCCCTGTGGCTGTCTGAACACATGACCACAATTTGTTGACACTCCTCGCCCTGGGAAGTGGGGTCTGTGTTTCTTCCCCTTGAAACTGGCTGGGCATGTACCTGATTTGACCAACAAAATACAATGAAAGTGACACTTACAATACTTCTGAGGCTAGGCTATAAAAGAACTTGAAGTTTCTGCCTTGTTCAAAGCGATGTCTCCTCTGAAGTATTGAGCTTAGTTTAAGGGGTCAGACAACCTGAGGTCACCATGCTATGCAAAAGCCTAAGATTCATAAAGAGGTATATGAATGCCCAACTTTTAAGTTGATCATTTAAGATTGAGCCCAACCTTTAAGTCATCTCAACTCACACAGCAGACATGGAGAAGGGGTCAGTTAGTAGCCAACACTCATAGCAATATACTACCTGGTCATTCGTTTGTGTAACATTTGAAAAGGTAAAATATAATCAATTCAATTGGTAAAAAACAAACAAACAAGAGCTTATATTATGTACCAGATATTGTATTGGGTCATTCTTTTTCTCAGAGAAGGACCCCAAATTTGTGAGAACTTCAACCTCACAAAACCTGGATTCACCCTATCCACAAGCCATTGTTGATCAGAGAGTTCACACACATTCTCCCTGGGGCTGAGAACAATTAACAACTGTAATCAAAGTTCAGATAATTGAAGCAGAGAGATGGAAGCCCACCTCCGCTCGTTACAAAGTGAGGAAATTGGCTCTCTGATCTTCGCAAAATCATAAAGTTACTTTAAAATACATTCATTTGTTCACTCATTTATTCATTCCATATGCATACACTGAGCAGCAGCTATAAGCCAGGTATAAGCTGTTTCATCTGAGTTACACCTTTCTCTAGCTGGCTCCTGTTCAGTTTCTAAACTTGGGTGGATGGGGGGACATTGGATTCAGAGCATAAAGAGGGCAGCTACATCTCTACCCCGTGGAGCATCTGGAAGGCAATTAGACTTTAATATGCAAACACTTCACCACCACCAGCCTCACACTTTAACCTGATCAGAGGCATTTCTGGGTGATAGGTAATCTGTGAACTTCTGAGAACTGCACTGTCTTAATTCACTTCTCATACATCTATTTATTAGAAAGTGTCTATTAGAATCGTTGTCCTAAAAGATGGTTTAAAAATAGAAGGATCTTACAAAGCCGGCAAAGGAAACAGAGATAAATGGTGGGGTCTTGAGCATAGAGAAGTGATACTCAATACATTTGGATGTCATGAAAAAGAAGACAAAATGAGAAAAATAAAAATCAGAACATTTGGCTCTATCCATGTGCCTCACTTTAAAATATTTTTTAAAAAATTAATAGTATTTGGATGTATTTAAATGTTGATTGTACATATTACAGCTCTCAACGCAAGGCTCTCCTGGTACTCTATTTTACTCTCAACAGCTTTGAACTACAGAGATGATCAGGAATGAATATTTAAAGTTGACTTGATTAACAAAGTAAGAATGTCAATTTTTACTCTGCTTACAACGTATTGAGATTATAATTACTTTTAACCTTTTCTTATTTGTATTTAAAATGTTTCATACTTATCGTACTTATTCCCACATGTTCCTTTCACTCCCAATTCTGAGAAAAAAATTGAGAAGAAACTTTTTTCCTAAATACTCTACGTTTCTTTGGTTAAAGAGCAGTGAGTGAAACTGTTTGATTATTGTAAAACAAGCAGTTTCAGGGCATATCGAGTGGACCGATACCCAGAAAATGTCATTTAAGCTGTGATCAAGGAAAGAAGATGAGACGATGGATTCCAGTGAACTCAATCACTGTTTGCAGCCTAACTCTGGGCAAGTCAACATACTGATAAGAGGACATGACAATGTCAAGGACTGATGAAATACCCAGAGACATGCAGGGTCATCCATTATCTAATTATGCCATTTTGGAAGTGATTTAAGCAAAAATATTATTCTGAGGTGAAGACAGAATAGGGGAACTAACATTTATTTAGCATCTATTGTGTGCCAGGTATTTTACATATGTTATTTCATTTGATCCTCAAAACAGGTCTTTAAAGTGGGTATTACAACCTCGTTTTATATATAAGGGAACAAACTCTAAGACCAGTAAATAGCCCTTCTAACTGAGCAGAACTAAGTAAGGGGAGGAGCAGTGTTTCAAACCAGATTTTTATTACTACAGAGTTATTGTCTTTATAAAATGTTGCCATTTAAAAAACAAATAGAGATAATATGGGAGTTAAAGATATCTATGAGCACTGTATAAACATTTATAATGTATATTTTTCTCAGTTTTTATTGAAATACTAGAATTCTTCACTATTAAATTTTCACTTTCAAACCTTCAAGTTTGAGACCTTTGATACTGAAGTGAGAGCTTTGAAGATTTGCGCAAAACTTAAATGAAGTCTCTTAATTGAACTTCAGAGGAGGTTGTCTGCGTGAATGGGAAGATAGACAGGTTGATTTTCAGGAAAGATGGGGTGGACTAAAGACTGATGGTTTAATAAACTTGAGGAGCATTGCTGCAAGCAGGTGAGAAGGAAAGCAAACGGAAGGTTGCCTGAAGTAAAAATGGGGTGTGGGGGAGGCATAGATAAACTAATCTAGAGACCTAGACCCAGCCCAGAGGCTGAGTCAACATCAAGTGGAGGTGGGGGGAAGGAAGAAGTAGCTGTAGTCAATGGGACGTGAATATCTACCTTTTCACCTGCCATACAATGTTAACCACCATATTCCTGAGGTTCCTACCAGCGCCCAGTACCCTGCCCCAGATGGGGGAAGCTTAGGGGGTCCCAGGTGCAAATGCAGCAGCATGCTCAAAGGTGGAGCGGCAGCCCACGCCTCCTCTGAGGGGGGCACACATTTTCTGGTCCATGACACTCATCTACACATGAAATCCAGGGAGATGAGAATCATCAGACACCCCAGAGTTCCATCTCCCGACTCCCCCAAAATATCTCTCTCAGACAGAAGGAGGATGACAGAATGACTAAGACACAGATGGCTCTTGTTTTTCTTTACCTACTCTACCTGCATGCCTAGGGAAACGCAGTCTGTATCCTGAATCTTAAGATAGTAACAGAGATTTGCACCCTTCTCCCCAGAAGGAAGGGTTACTTTGGCCACCCCTTGACTTCTCTTGGGGATCCTGAGAGATAGGAGAGTTTGGTGGGCAATAGCCCACCCCCCGCAATATTTTATGACTCCAGTTTTATCTGTGGCAGTTGAGAAGGGCTCCAGAGGACTTGTCTGCTTCTATATGCAGCCTTGCTCCACAAGCCTAGGAGTTTAGTCAGCATTTGGAGCAGATATATATTCTCTGATACCCTCCCCACAAATTAGGATTTGACCAACCAGTGAGTTGGCAGAAAGTTCCAGATAGACATAGGCTAGTGCCGTATTGTTCAGGATTTGGAGAGTAAAGATTTCCCCCAAGCTTAAAGTTAGGGCTGGCAGGAAGAATGCAAAAATGCAAATTACAGACTCCTAGCCCAATGGAGCCTGTCTAATAAAAAATTCATTCATTATTGATTTACCTTAAGGGGATAAAAAATACAATATGCAATAAATCTCCTTTGCCATTCTAGGCTTCAAAAATTTTAAATGGCCACCTGGGGGAAGCTTTAAAAATGAACAATGCCAAAGTAAAGAAGGTTTCCAGATCATTCCATGCTTTCGCTATATGTTGAACTAAGTAACCAAACGTCTTAGGAAGACTCTAAAGGTGTCAGAAATACAGATGAGCCTAATCCAACATTGTTTTAAGTAAAGGCCTCAAATGACTTATATTCCAATGACCAAGGAAAAGAAATTGTCTGCTTTCTCTAAGAACAGTCCAAGCAGGGCCCCCACTAGCCTGCATAATGGCTTTGAGTGAATTAGAAAATGATGGCTTCTCTGGGTGGAGGCTGCCCATGTAGCAGCTGGGGCGGGGAGCAAAAGCTGACCAAAAGCTCCTCATTACCTTGGCCTCAGCATACGCCTGATCAGCTGTATGCAGCAGCTCTGGTTAGGTTAAAATTTAAAAAAAAAACCTATTCTTCAGTGGGGTGAAACCTAGGTTGGGAGTCTCAAGAAACATGTATAATTTGCCCACGAAGAAGTCTCTCTTACTCCCATAGAAGGCTTCATCAGGACCAGCCTTGGACATGTTACTTAAATACTCTCTCATACTGACATTCAAGAATGCTTTTTTAAGAATGTTTTAAAACTAAAATATTGGGCTTCTCTGGTGGCGCAGTGGTTGAGAGTCCGCCTGCCGATGCAGGGGACATGGGTTCGTGCCCCGGTCTGGCAGGATCCCACATGCCGTGGAGCGGCTGGGCCCGTGAGCCATGGCTGCTGAGCCTGCGCGCATCCGGAGTCTGTGCTCCGCAACGGGAGAGGCCACAACGGTGAGAGGCCCGCGTACAGCAAAAAAAAAAAAAAACTAAAATATTTATCCCAGTGCACCCAGGGGAAAAGTAAGGGCTGATGCATAGATTTGTAGGCTCCTGACCAATGATTCACTTACCTCTCAACAAAGACTTCACAAGGTGGAATTTGTATTCACTCAGGTAATTTACTTTGTTTTCAAAGACAAATAGGACTCCTTTGAAGGAGGCTGTCACACAGATTTTATGTTTCAGATGTGTCTCCTTTGTTCATGTGTTTGCAAAACACAGGTGAGGATGTAGCTCTCCCTCCATCTGGAACTTCAAGGAGAACACAAGAAACAGCTGAATGTGCAAAGAGAAAATTGATTTTAAAGGCAAAATGAGTAGGTGTGTAGCTAATGTTTTAATAGTTCTTTGGGGGAATTTTCTGTCCCTACAAATTATATATACTCACTGTAAAACATTCAAACAATTGAATATTTGAGTCCCCTTCACTATTTTCCAAATGCTACAGCTCTCACCAGAGGCAACCATGGTTACTAATTGATTATTTCTAGAGATTTTTCAAAGAAATTATATACACACACATATCTATACATACATGTCTTTAGATATCGTTTTAAACTTTTTTTAAAATATACAGAAGTATGCATGTCATAATTTTACAGCTTAATGAATTGTCACAAATGCAATATAACCACTACCCAAGTCAAGAAGTAGAACATTATCAGCACCTCAGAGGCCCCCTACATATCAATCTACATACACCTTTGTACATAAATGCAACATAAGATATACATTTCCTGCCACTTACTTTTTCCTCTTAAGAATGTTGTTATGCCAAGAACATATATACTTGTTACACTATCATATAATATTCCTTAGTATGGGCTTCATATAAGTTATTTAACATTACCCTATTAATAGACATTTAGTTTATTAAAATGATCTTGTATAACATTTTAAGCTCAGAAGTTTCAACTCTTTGTTTTACCAAAATAAAAGTCACCCTTTTGGATCTTTATTTTACCAAAAATAATTGCTAACATAAGACTGCAATAATCCACATGTTGAAAAAGGCCTTCCAGGGGCCATCCAGATCTTCTGAGTGATCTGTGCAGATATTATTCAGTGAGGGGGCAAGCAGATCGTCTTGACTTCTTGTACCTCCATTTCTCACACAGGGGCAGGTAAGACTTGCCAGGCATGGAGAATAGCTAGTGCTGTAGTCTGAATCCTAGAGCCAGCATTTTCTGGGGAAAAAAAAAAAGACTCTTGGTTTGTCACATTTGCCAATTTCATGAGTTCAATACTCCCTCAAGACTAATCTCAAGGGCTTCCCTGGTGGCGCAGTGGTTGAGAGTCTGCCTGCCGATGCAGGGGACACGGGTTCATGCCCCGGTCCGGGAGGATCCCATGTGCCGCGGAGCGACTGGGCATGTGAGCCATGGCCGCTGAGCCTGCGCGACTGGAGCCTGTGCTCCGCAGCGGGAGAGGCCACAGCAGTGACAGGCCCCGGAACCGCAAAAAAAAAAAAAAAAAAAAAAAGACTAATTTCAAGTGACCAACTTGACCTCACTGAACACAGTGTTGGGAAAAGATGCAGACAATTAGCATTGAATGGCTGCAAGATGGCTCCAACACACTGCCTGGGGTCTGAGGTAAGATAGTACCTACGTGACTGCATGGAAAGTTGTCAAAAGAACCACGAATCAGAGCTAACTTTTAAAAAAGGAGAGTGAAAATTTGAAATAATACCCAAAGGTAAGGATAAGTGAAGAAATGTCATAGGTATTGCTTTGAACAGGATTGAGTGTTCAAGCAGTGCCTTTCTGTTTTAATCAGCCACGTGATACTTGGTACACGAGTGGTTGATCTGTCCACTCAACAGGTAAATGTTAATATTCTATCAATATAATTATCATATGTTATGGTGGAAAGCTGTATATGGTAGAATTTCCCTTCTTCTTGCCTGCAACAGTCAGTATAGAGAAGAAACAACCTACAAAGAAATCAACAAAAATTGAGACAGGACAATTAGATAACAGCATCTCTCAAAAATAACTGCATTTTGTTGAGACCAATTTATTTTGTACCTTTCACATATCATGGGCTGTTCTTGGTATTCAGGGAAACTGTAAACAGGGAACGGAAAGTTAAAGGAAGAGAGCTTTAAAAAGCAAAGCAAGGTTGGAAAGGAGAAGAATGGTCATTATGCATCCTAATGTTCAAAAGTCATTCTAGAGAGAGTCAGAAAGAGAGTGAGGGTGGGTAGAGAGATTTGAAGTCCTTTCTAAGCAAGACACAAAATGAAGCCATGAAAGAAAAGACTGATAAACTTGATCACATGAATAGCATTTGAAATGGCAAATATATACCGTCAACTAAGTATAAATGAACAAACAAACACAAACCCCAGATATTTCACATTGCCAGGGTCAGTCCCTACTGATGGCTCTCAAACTGTGTTAGTTTTCTGTCATTGTCTGTTTTAGTTAGCTAGGGCTGCGATAACAGAATACCACATTTTCTCAAGGTTCTTGAGGCTGGAAGTCCAAGATGAAGGTGTCAGCGAAGTTGATTTCTGCCGAGGCCTTTCTCCTTGCTTTGCAGATGACTGCCTTCTTGCTTGTCCACACATGGCCTTTTCTCTGTGTATGCACGGAATGAGAGAGAGAGATCTCTGTTGTTTCTTCCTCTTATTAGGACACGAGTCCTATAAGATTAGGGTCTCACCCTTATGACCTCAGTTACCTCCTTAAAGATTCTATCTTCAAATACAGCCACCTTGAGAGTTAGGGCTTCAACATACGACATTTGGAGAGACACAATTTAGTGCATGACACTGGCATAACACATTATACAAATTCATCAGTTTAAACCAACACAAATTTATTATCTTGCAGTTCTGTTGGGTCAGAAATCTAGGTTGGGTTTTCTGCTCCAGGTTTCACAAAGATGAAATCATGGTTTCGTTCTCTGGGTTTTTATTGAGAGACTCTGCTTCCCAGCTTATTCGGGTTTTTGGCAGAATCCAGTTCCTTGCAGTTGGAGCTCCCTGTTTCCTTGCTGGCTGTCATTTGAGGACTACCTTAGCATCTAGAGGCCTCTCTCGGGTTTTTACATGTGGGCACCTCTGTCTTACAGCCAGCGACAGTAGTGAGTCAAATTCTTCTCACACTTGAAATCTTTGACTTCTTGTTTTATATTTTAAGGTATCGTGATTAGATTGGACCCACCTGTATAATCCAGGCTAATATCCTGATTTAAGGTCTGCAATCTTAATCACATCTGCAAATTCCCTTTTGCCATGTAATATAACATCTTTACAGCTTCTAGAGATTAGCGCAAAGAAAACTTTGGGGGCCCATTATTCAATTTACCACAGTAGCAACTATATTAGAGCTTCAAATATATCCAAGAGATATTTATGGAAACATTAAACAATAACGGTGACAGAAGATCTTGGTTTATTTGTTCAGGCTTATGAGAATGGTTCTAGCATTTCATCATTCAGCATGGTGCTGGCTCCTGACCTGAGGGGTGTGTGTGTATGGTGCGTATGTGTTGTGTGTCTGACTTCTCTGTTAATACATGTATATTTTAAAGTATCCATTTATCCCTATTTTGCGATTTTTTTCCCTTTATTTTTTTGGGCTGAATTGGGTCTTAGTTGCGGCACACGGGGTCTTCACTGAGGCATGCGGGATCTTTTGTTGTGTCTTGGGCTCCTTTTTAGTTGTGGTGTGAGGGTTTTCTCTTCTCTAGTTGTGGCGCACAGGCTCCAGGGCACGTGGGCTCTGTAGTTTGCAGCACGCAGGCTCTCTCGTTGAGGCGTGCGAGCTCAGTAGTTGTGGCGCACGGGCTTAGCTGTCCCGCGGCATGTAGGATCTTGGCCCCCCACCAGGGATTGAACCCATGTCCCCTACATTGGAAGGTGGATTCTTTACCACTGGACCACCAGGGAAGTCCCTGTACAATTTTTAAAAATCGTTAATGGTTGTTTGAATGTTTGACATTGTCAAATATCTTTGTGGCGTCTACTATAATGCTTATTTTTTTCCTTTGACCTATTAATATGGTACATTAATTATATTATATATATTAATAGTTTTCTTATTATTGAATTATCCTTACATAATGGAGTTGTTTTAATATGTACTTATAATCCATATTATGTGAGATTTTTGCATAATTTTTTGGATACAATTTTCTTTCTTGTCTTGTTAGTTTTCATATCAGGGTTATGATGACCTCATAGGAAGAACTGGGATGATTTCTTTCTCTCTATTCTCTGGAATTGTTTAAATATTACACCAGTTATATGTGTTTTAAGGGTTTAAAAGAACTCATCTGAAAACCACTTGGGCCTAGCACTTTTTTGAGAGAAAGACTCTTCAATAACTTTCTTAATATTTTCCTCTTTTGGGGAATTATTGGATCAGTGCCTCATTAAAATAGAACAAAAATCCAGTCCTTCACCACAGTCAATACACAAACTTTGAATAAACACTGTATATATCAATACTTCAAGTTTTAAATATGACCAGTGGACTTGGTTCTTCCTTGTATTTTCTTTGGGCTGGATTGACAATACTACTACTCACAGAGGGACAAATATGTCTAAACTTTATAACATTCATAGTAGAGAAACTTGTCTCTCAGAAGTATGTTGTTGGGAATGGAATTTCATTGACTTCTTAGTACTAATTTATAACTTTTTCCTAAAATGAAACTATATTTTCAAAATCTATTGACAATTTTTCCTCAGTACTCAGTTCCAACAATTTATTCTTTGAGGTTATACATTTATAATATCTTTTGATGAAAGAAATGAATTAACATCTAATGAATTCCCTAAATGCATCTTCTTTGAACAGAAAATAAAATTCAAATCATCCTATTAAATTTGAAACGTTTTCAATGGTTACTTTATGTAAGTGTGCAATATTCAAATCATCACCTATTTCATGGTTAATTATTGTTAAATTATGGAAAATGTCACAATGGTCTGTAGAAACTATTCTTCCAAGCTTTTAGCTTTCATTTCTGCTCTGTTTGCCATTGAAAAACATGTGGCATTCTTTTCTTGCATGAAAGTATTAAAGTTATTAGAAATACAGAAGAGACTACGGAAGAGTAAGCCTGGATGTCTCTTCTGCATCTTTAAAATGTTAGGACCAAAAACCCTAACAGATTTTTCCGTAGCTCAAATATTCTTAACAGAATTTTCCCCCTTGATAATCCTTGTATGTCAGTATGCAATAACAGTGTTTATAGTCAACTCATATGGTAAATAAAATAAAGAGAGTAATCTCAAAGTGAATGCATTAGCCTTTATGTAATTCATAGTTCTTAATGCTTCAGTCTAATGCTTCCGTCAGCACAATATTTAGGTCCGCTGAAAACGTGATAACTAAGTCACGGTAAGTATGTGGAGCAAGAGGAACTCTCATATCCCGCCAGGGTGGGGCTGTAAACTGGTGCAACCACTTTAGAAGAAGGTTTCATCTTACCTAGTGAAGCTAAAGATATGCATATCCTACGACACAGCAAATTTCTGCTCCTAAGTATATACCCTGGAGAAATACTTCTGTGCATCAGGATACATGATCTGGAAGGTTCAGAGCAGCACTGTGCACAATAATACCACACTGGGAAAGTCCCAAAACAAGGCTCAATTTTAGAATGGCTCTAAGCAATCTGGCATATTCATTCAGTGGCACACAATGAAAAACAAACGAAAACAGCTACACAGAACACTATGCATGAGTTTTATAAATAGCATGTTGAGCAAAGGAATCAAGATACAAATGGGTCTATATATTGTATGAGTCCATTATGCGAAGCTCAAAATAAAAAAAAAAAACGATGATGTTTAGTCCATTATGCAAAGCTCAATAAAAAAACCCGATGATATTTAGGGATATATAGTTAGATGAATAAACTACGGTAAATTAAATAGATAAAGGCAAAGAATGAATGACCCTAAAGGTCAGGAGAGTGTTTTTCTCTGGAGGTTAAAGGAAGTAAAAACAAAAAACAAAAAACTGTATTGGAAGCTTTTCAGCTGTGGACAATATTTTGCTTCTTGCCTTGAGTAGTGATTAGACATGTGTATAGAATTATGTACTATGCTAGTTGTTGATTTTACTGTGCATTATATCTAATATTCACAAATTTAGAAGAGGTTAAAAAAGCTAAGGGGTTCAAAATTTTATGGAGATTTTTAAAAAAATCTCAAGGTAAGAGTGATAGGAAGCCTGATAATTATCTTCGGATATTTTAAAAGATGTCATGCTATAGTGGAAATTTTGGTTTCTTTTCAAACTCCTCTTTTTCTGGGTTCTCAGACCCCCTTTTCTGGAAATTACCCCCTCTACCTCCCCCTCCTAATTTCACTTACACGGTTGATGGTACTCATTTTAGTATAGTGGGACCCACCCACTCTCCCCCTACCCCCCATCTCCCCATCCCTCCCCACACCTCCACCCCACACACGTAGCCACAGTTGATTAGTTGAAGAGAGAATAGCTGACTCAAATTAGGCCACAAGAATCCATTCTCTAGAAATGTCTATTTAGGACCCAATAGCGCAACTAGAACTTATAGTTGAAGTTACAGGGTAAAATGTTTGACTTTATGGAAGCAATATATTGGTATTATTACAACATCACTTTCTCCTCAGGTACTACTAACTGCTTTGTGCAGTCACCCTGGAGGAGTTTAAGTGTGGCTTGAATAACTGAAAGAGATTACAGGCAGAATATAGGAACAGGCTAAACACTTCAATGAAAAACAAACCTGCAAAAGTGCTTAGACACAGAATATAGACACATGACCTTTTCCCCCATGCATCCTATTGCTTACCAATTTTAAGTGCCTCTATTTAAAAGTAGTAGTTTTCTCCTTAAATTTAAAGCATGTCATTCCTCTCCTCAAACCTCTAATCAACAGCTCCAATATAAGATTCATTTTACTCACATTTAGATTTAAGAACAGTTGCAGTTACTATTTTGTCAATATTCACTCTAATCTCTCCAGATTTCACCCTTTCGCTTCAACTGGGTGAACATGTTTGTCATTTTATGTGTTCAAACTCCCAACACTTGTTTCTCTCCTAGTGTACTGTTTTACTATTTCTTTAATAATAAAAATAATTATATGTAAACAGATCTAATGTGCTGACTTTAAACATCAGAATTATATTTTCTACGATGAGGAACCAACATGGTAATGTTGAGTAAACATGAATTATTACTGACAGATTTTCTTTGGTGGATGGGCACAAGAATTCTTCAGGTCAGAACATTGATTAATCCATTGGAAAAAATTGTGTGCTGAAATTTAGATTATTACTGTAATGATAAAAAAGATGTATCCCTATGCTGTACAGATCTTCTTTGACTTTTGATGGAGTTACATAAGTTGATTGTTAAGTCGAGATGCACTTAATACATACCTAACCTATCAAACATCATAACAGCCTAGCCTACCTTAAATGTGTTCAGAACACTTAGATTAGACTACAGTTGGTCAAAATCATCTTACACAAAGCCTATTTTATAATAAAGTGTCAAATATCTAATGTAATGTATTGAGTACTGTACTGAAAGTACAAACAGAGTGGTAGCATGGATACAGAATGGTTTTAACTACATTGGTTGTTGGCCCTTGTGATCATGTGGCTGACTGGGAGCTGTGGGTCACTGCCTCTGTCCAGCATCATGAGAGAATGTCGTACTGCATATCACTAGCCCTGGAAAAGATAAAATTCAAACTACACTTTCTACTGAATGCATATTGTTTTTGCACTATGGTAAAGTCAAAAACTCATAAGTCAAACCATCTAAGTTGGATGCTATCTCTATTGCATTATTCAAAGAAAGAGAAAGAAAAATAATAAGAAATGGAGAAATTGCATTATATATCATCCATTATTTAAAATAATCAAGTAGTTCATTCAACTGTAGGATGGAAATGCAAAGGTCTTTTTTAGCATAGGACTTTTTGTTTGTTTAAGGTGAGAAAGATACTTTCCCCCAATTTGACTTTTATTTACCTATTATCTGACATTTTCACCAGAGAATTTCAATTTGGGACAATAATTTTAATTCTTATATGTTTCCTATCCAGCCTTTATTGTCAAATTTTAAAAAACCTGGAAGTTAAAATAGAACTGAAAATCCATAATGATTAGATTTTCCTTTTCTTCTCAGATGAGCTAAATAATTGTACAGACTGTTAAAAAAAAATCCTTAATTTAAAAATATTTTTAAGTATTCTAGAATTACTGTTCAATATCTGAATTAGGAAATGTTAGTGTGGAAATAGAGGAAGAGAAATATTTGTGTAATTTTGGCATTGAAAGTCCCTGAAGTTCAAGGTATTAGGGCAGCTATGGTAGGTAGCCTCTAATATGGTCCCCACTGATTCCTACCTCTTGATATTCATGCATTATCCATTCCCCTTGAATATAACATATCAACTCATTTCTAGTAAACAGAATATGGCAAAGCTGTGTGATGTTACTTTTAAGATTAGGTTAGAAAAAGGCTGTGGCTTCCATCTTGGGCATGTTTCTCTTGCTCTCCCTTAGATTGCTCACCTGGGAGAACACGGCTGCCATGTTGTGAGGCATCCCGGTGTGGGGGCCACAAGTGAGGGATCGATGCCTACCAATAAGGTATAGGTGAGCTTGGAAGTAGATCCCACCTTCAGATAAGATTATAGTCTTAGCTGATGGTTTGACTGCAACATTATGAAAAACTTTGAGTCAGAGACACTAGGCACAGCTAACCTGTGCCCAGATTGCTGATCCATAGAAACTGTGAGATGATAAATATTTGTTGTTGTAAGCTGCTGAATTTGGGGGTAATTTGTTAATGTAGCAATAGATAGCTAATACAGTTGTACTAACAACATTGAGATTTGCGGAATGAGTATATTTGATAATATTCTAAGCATGATTTCACCTAGAAAAGTAGGGCAACGGGATTGAGGTGGATAGAAAAAATGGCCCCCAAAGATGTCCACATTCTAACCCATAGAAACCGTGAATATGTTACTTTGCTGTGGAAAAGGGGAGCCTGTAGCTGTGATTAAGTTAAGGTTCTCAACACGGGGAGGTTATCCTTGACTATCCAGTTGGATGCAATGTAATTACAAGGGTCATTGTAAAATGGAGGCAAGAGGATCAGAGTCAGAAAAGGAGATGTGACAAAGGAAGGAGAGGTTGGAGTGATGAACTTTAAATGAAGATGAAGGATGAAGGAATGAGTCACAAGTCAGGGAAAGTAGGTGGCTTCTAGAAGCTTGAAAAGGCCCAGGAATTGATCCCTCGCTAGAAGGAAGGCATTTCTGCCAACACCTCGATTTTATCCCAGTGAAACTGATTTTGGACTCTGACCTTCAGAACTGCAAGATAATATATTTGTGTTTTCTTAAGTCACTTTGTGGTAATTTGTAACAGCACCAATAGGAAACTAATACAGGGGCTTTTGGTGAACATCCCACTGCCTTGAGTATAATTCATTCTCTCTGTAAATTGTTGCATTGACATCCACATGTGGAATGCAAACCAAGGGTTAAAGACAATGCATAAAAGGTGATTTCATGTCCAAATTAGTCTTTAGTAAGAGCACTTCCCACCCCCTTCCCCCTTCCACCTCTGGCATCTCAATTTCCCACTAAAAGACCAAAGGGAACACAGAAAAGAAAAAAAAAAAAGCATCATAACAAAAATTAAAACTGATGAAAAAATGAGAGTCTAAACTGTATGAAGGCAAGAACGATTTCTCTTTTTTTTTTTTTTCCCGGTACACGGGCCTCTCACTGTTGTGGCCTCTCCCGTTGCGGAGCACAGGCTCTGGATGCGCAGGCTCAGAGGCCATGGCTCATGGGCCCAGCCACTCCGCGGCATGTGGGATCCTCCCGGACAGGGGCACGAACCCGTGTCCCCTGCATCGGCAGGCGGACTCTCAACCACTGCGCCACCAGAGAAGCCCCCATTTCTGTTTTAATCACCACTGTTATCCCAGCAAACAGCACAGCCGCCGGCATACTGCAGAGACTTGATAAATGTCCACTGAGCATTGTCAAATGTACACTTTAAAAACAGAAATTGTCAGAACTTGCCTGTAATAATAAGGCAGATGGATCAGGGTTGATTAAAAGCTATGTAGTCTTTACCTCATGGCCGGTCCAGTTTCTCTTCTTGAAATGTAGACTACCTGGGAAAAAACAAGTGAGAATCTTTTAACCACTACTACTGTGTGCTCTTTGACTTAGGTCACCAGGGACAGTTTTAACCAGATGACTGGGGTGGGATTGGTTTCTCTTCCACAAAGACTTTGCTTTTTAAGAGACAGAGAGAGGAGTGTGTCTTGCCTCCACCTCTTTATTCTAGATCGATTTGAATGCAGAGACTCCTAATTTAGTGTAGTCTCCGGGTGTAAAAGTTCATACGTTAGAGTTAAGCCGGGAAGTACAGCCAGTAATTTTACAGAGTGTTTCATCTATTTCAATTGTTCTATCAAATAATCATTTGTGAGTAAAGAAGGAGAATAGGACAAAACTGAAAAAAAGTGATTATCAGTCAAAAATCGGTAGTCGTGCTGGGACTTGTCTATATCTTTGCCACCAGATACAAACCTGAGAATGAATTTGATCCCTACAAAACTTGAAAGAGAAAAAAGCAAGAGAAATCCATATTCTTGGTCTGATGGAGAAGAAAACGAACAAACGATTTTCTGAAGACTTAGAAGAAAAGCATATGCACACATATGCATTATGTTCACAAGACTGGTTCTTTTATGCATACAATTTTTTTGTTTCTTTTTTTTTGTTTGTTTGTTTTTGGGGGTTTTGTTTGTTTGTTTGTTTTTGGCCGCGCCGCACAGAGTGCAGGATCTTAGTTCCCCAACCTGGGACGGAACCCGCGCCCACGGGACCGCCAGGGAAGTCCCTATGCATATAGTTTTATGACTAGCTTTTCTCACTAAAATATATCGTGTACATTTTTCTATGTTGTTGAATATTCTTCTAGCCTGTTGTCTTAATAACTTTATCAATTTTCTTTTTTTTTTCTTTTTTTTTTTTGCGGTACGCGGGCCTCTCACTGTTGTGGCCTCTCCCGTTGCGGAGCACAGGCTCCGGACGCGCAGGCTCAGCGGCCATGGCTCACGGGCGCAGCCGCTCCGTGGCATGTGGGATTTTCCCTGACCAGGGCACGAACCCGTGTCCCCTGCATCGGCAAGAGGACTCTCAACCACTGCGCCACCAGGGAAGCCCTATCATTGTTCTTCATAATGCCATACATCTTAATGGATTTATAGGTATTTTTATTTTTTAACATAATATATAGCTCCTTAATTAACATTCTGGTAGCTATATATTTGCACAAATGCATACTCGTTTCTTTGGAATATATTACTTGTAGAGCAATTGCTACATTTCCTTCATTAATACTTTTTTCAATTTCCAGTGAGCTGTGCATCCATATTAAAATAATTTAGATTTTTCTCTTTTTATTGAAGTAGATTTATGTATAATATTATATCTTACAGGTGTACAATGTAGTGATTCATAATTTTTTAAGATGATACTTCATTTATACTTATTATAAAATATTGGCTATATTCTCTGTGTTGTACAATATATCCTTGTAGCTTATTTTATACCTAATAGTTTGTACCTCTTAATTCCCTACCCCTTTATTGCCCCTCTCCCCTTCCCTCTCCCCACTAGTAAACAGTTTATTCTCTATATCTGTGAGGCTGCTTCTTTTTTGTTATATTCACATTTGCTGTATTTTTTTTTAGATTCCACATATAAGTGATACTATACAGTATTTGTCTTCCTCTGTCTGACTTATCTCACTTAGCATAATACCTTCCAAGTCCATCCATGTTGTTGCAAATGGCAGAAAAAAAAATCAGATTTAAAAAGAAAAAACATTAGTTTTAGTGTTTTATGCTCTTCCCTTAAAAACACTTTATTTTTAAGCCTAATTTCATCCTTATTGGATATATGTCTTCAGCTTATTGAAGAACGGTAAATAAATGGCTGGCATACATTATGAGTCAGAGTGTGAGTTTTAGCTGCCTTTATACAAAATATTCAGCTTGGCCTGGGACAACATGGTTGGTCACATTTCCCTAATTGCCCTAGACTTCTCTTGCATATGATTCTGCGGCAGAAGAATCTTGGCCCAATCTGAATTTTGACTAGCTATGGGCTATCATTCCCTGACCCAAAGGAAGTACTTAATATGTTTGCTTAATCCCAGCCTTGTGAAGTGAGGCCATTGGTAGTTGAGACAAATCTTAAAGGATATGCTAAATATTCATGTTTCTAAATCTCCCAGGTTACTGCTTGTCAAAGTATGATCACAGACCAGCAGCTGCAGCAGTAGCTAGGAACTCATTAGAAACATAAATTCAAGGGTCTTACCCCAGACCTACTGAATCTGGAGGCGGGGGCCAGCGATCTGTGTTTTTACAGGTCCTCCAGGAGATTCTGATGTGTAACTTCTGCCTTAAGCAATAACTTCTTCTTAAGTTCAATAGTCCGAAAGAAATATATCTGAACAGCACTAATTTAATTTATTATACAAAGGCCTCCAATGAACTACAGTTCAAAATAGGGAATGAGAAATTATTTATTGAAACACTTTTCTGCATCTTTAAAATTTCTATTACACTATTCAGACCCCATGTGAAGGTGCTTTTTTAAGTGAAAAATGCAATATAAAAGGATGTATTTTTTATGGCAATAACCAATGTCTTTTAAAAAAATATCAGTGTGCGTGTGTGTGTGTGTGTGTGTGTGTGTGTGTACTGAAACACTAAATTCCTCCTTTGTCAGTGATAGTGTAGGATTGGTTTCCCTTAGTTCTTCTGCTGAGGCTTTTAATCCCATACCACTCCCATCCCCTTTAAGGATCAAGGACCTGTCTTTTGTCCTGGGCTGTTGCTCTCATGGGGCAAGTCTCCAGCAGTACAGGTGAGGTCCTTCTGCTGGATAGACTGTAGAAGACATGCAGGCAGCCATAGGGATGGAAGGCCCTCGCCCAAAGGGTTTTGAAGACAGTGGATGTGACGCCTTTGCTCAGGAGCAGAGGGAAGTGGCCAGGCTTCATCTCCCTTAGACCCCTGACCTCCTCTAATTCATGATGCCCATCCCCCAGACAAAGGCCATGGTGGAATCGCCCAGAGATGGGGCGCAATTCTCTTTGTAATCACTTCTGTGGCAAAAATTCTCCTGCAAGGCTTCCCTTTTGATTTTCGGAAGCCCAGCGTGGGAATTAAAACGATAACTGCAAACAATTTTGTTTTCTCTTTACATTTATGCTGTAACAACCCTTGTTCCTCTCAAAGCCATGGGCTGGAACATGTCTCAGACTGACAAGGAAAAGACAGGAAAGAACAGCATAAAAGAAAACTCTCTGAGATTAATATCTCAAGAAGTCTTCCCACTACACTCAGGAAACCAAACAAAAAAATAAATCTGCAAACTCATGCTGTTCATTTTTGTGCCTCAGTGGCAAGATTTTGTTTTGAATCAGTGGTTTCATTTCAACTAGGCCATCTGGAGCCACCTCTTCCTATTCCCTTCTGTTCTTTTTTTTTTTTTTTTTCTCCCTGCTGTTCTTAAAGGTTCTTGGGTTGTTTCACTCCAGTGTAAATGTGTCTGCTCTTGTAACCCAACCCAGATTCCTCTGGGAAGCAGAAATAGTATAAATAATGAAAGATGCAATGAAAATCTGGTCTCAGGGCGTGATGTCCTGAGGCAAAACTTTACCACTTCTTTAAATGTGAATGGTTTTATTTATTTAGTGGAGTGTTAAGCTTTGGAATCAGATTTCTTGAGATCTTCTCAGTCCAACTACTTTTCATTTGTGTGACAATTTTTTCCTCATCAATAAAACAGCAAGAGTAATAATATCCCCCCAATTAGGTAGTTGTTAACTTAGATAAACTATATGTAAAGTGTTTGCCATCTTGCCTGGAACTTAAATGTTAAATGAATGTTGACTGTTGCCAGTATTGTTATTATTGTCATTGTTAGTTATTGACAAGTTTGCTCAAAAAAGTATTTAAAAGAGCTTCAAAGATACGTGCAGTTCATAACAGGTCATAATTAGAAGGAAATGAATAAGATTAAGAATATGGAGTTATGATAGTCTAGACTGATCACTGCTTTGTTATTCTGATTGTATCTTTAATAATCTTTGTCATTGGAATTATAATCAATCTTCAGATAATTTTAACATTTTTGAGTTGTTAAGGGGATTACTTTTTGCTTTCTCATTTCCACTAATAGTCTAAATCAAGATTTCTCCAAATGTTTGGAAATAAATAGGCATTATTACATACATTCTAAAACACACACATGCACATGTGCACACACACACACACACACACACACACACACACGCTATAAATATTACTATGTCCAGGGCACTGGAAGTCACAAGGAGCAAAAGAATAGTATCTCTCTAAAGAACAGCCCATGGCACTCTTCTAGAGAGAAGGTACTTCCTTTTTTTTTTTTTTTTTTTTTGTGGTATGCGGGCCTCTCACTGCTGCGGCCCCTCCCGCCGCGGAGCACAGGCTCCGGACGCGCAGGCCCAGCGGCCATGGCTCACGGGACCAGCCGCTCCGCGGCATGTGGGATCTTCCGGACCGGGGCACGAGTCCTCGCCCCCTGCATCGGTAGGCGGACTCTCAACCACTGCGCCACCAGGAAAGCCCCCAAGAGACGGTACTTATACTAACCTGTACATTGATTTATTTAAACGACCAGAAAGCACCATATAAATGAAGCTACTGGAGGGATTTTAAGAAATCCAGGTTCCTGAGACTAGGACAAACCTACTGAATCAGACCCTCCCAAGATGGGAGTTGTTTCAAGGTTTTTCACAACATGGCCTCTTCTGTTAGAATGAATAATAATGTTGACTATAATGAAAGGTATGCTGATGCTCACAGCCAGAGGCATTTTATAATTCAATTATAGGGAAGCAGTAAGGATCCCATTAGAATTTGGTGTCAGAGAAATGGTTGTGGTAGACTGGAAAAAACAAGGAAATTGATAAGAACTGATAAAGATAAGACCAGGAAAAAGAATAGGATTGCTGAAGCATTCCTTCTTGTATCAGCAAAGAGGAACTACAGTTTCACATATAGATCCTGTTCTCCAGGAAAACTTTGCTATTCACACATAATTT